ACTGGTTAGAGAAAACAATTGATTATAACGCAAGGTTGTAGTGGACCAACCTCTGAGCCAAATTGCCTATGTACTCTTGCAATAAGAGGACTATGTTAATGGAAAATACTGTGTTACCAGACTGAAGGAAAGATGAGCCATCACACCAAAATATGTTTATATACCAAAGTTACTCAAGCATGTTGATAATACCTCTGAGTTGCAGAAAATATTATTACTTTTACTGATAGCAAGTTAGATCTTATTTGATTACCGACAATCAAAATATACTTTTCCCCCCATCATCTTCATCTAGGGATAGTCAACTGGGAGACAAGCTTGGAGGTGCAGTAGCAAACGGGAGAACACAGGAGAAAACCCACACGGAAGGAAGAAAACACAGAAGCATCCTAGATCACTACCCAGATCATTGAACCATGACATCAACATCGCTCATCTACTTTTGGACTTATCACGTGGGCAGAAGAGACTTTATTGTCCAAGGGTGCAGTGCCCATGGCCTCTAAACCAGATATATTCTGTCAAAGACTCTTTTTAGATTAGAACTTAGAAAATCATAACATACATTTTGGGCTCTTTCAGATTTTATTTTACTCAAATCCCAAGCACTTTCCTTTTGATATGAAAATATTGTGTTTCCGTCATTGTAAGAGAATTCAGTGACCATGCATAATGGAAAAAGTGGGTCAGCTGGTTGCGTTTCATAAAGCAATAGCACCTCCAAGGCTTCAAAATGTTTGCTTTATAAACTAACCCTCAGCCTGTCACTTACAATTTCCGTTTTCATTATAAATAAGCAGCAAAATGTGCAGACTGTCTGTTTTGCAGTAAAACACAGCTGTTTCCATTTGCTCTCCCATCAGTTTCATTTTCACATCATTCTGCAGTGGAATTGAATTGAATCATTTCATCTCTGGGACAAGGAGTATTCTGCAGCTCAGTAGCAGGCGGCCCCTAATCCTTAATTTCACTTCCTTCTGTGTTTCCCAATAGCCTAGAATTGGGACTTCAGTTTCCAACTGTGGCATTTGTAATATGGAATTTGGTGGCCTTGGATACAAATAAACACCTGACCCCACCTTACTCCTGCAGAAAATTAGAAAAATCTTTCTTAAACTCTGAGTATCAAAATGTAGTAAGATTTTTTCAATTCCAGGGAATTTTAGAAAGAAGTGTGAGTTTCCATGACTAGGAAAGAATGTGGCTTGTAGTGTATTTCATAAAGCAGGAAAGATAAAGATGAAGTGTGAATTGTGTTTCTATCACAATAAGAGAAGACCTGGTTATTAATACTTAACAATAACTGTCACGTTCATAGTGTACATTTTTCAAATATTGAGAACACACAATATCATTTAACTTTTTCAACTATATTGATTATTATTAACATTTTATTATGAATAATGAAAGTGAAGATTATAAATATTAGCTCAAAGTAACAGGGTCTGGAGCATAGAACATGCGTTTTTGAAAGAATAAAAAATAGAGGCATCAATTAATAAGTTTTGGAGCTAGAATTCCAATCCATGTACAGTGAGTGCTCCTTTGCCAAAGAGCGCAGTTTCTTACCCCATGTTTACATCTCTAATTTTTAGAGTTAGGCTCTGCTCTATAAAAGTTGGTTATGCTGTGTGAGCTCTTGTCTACCTCCTGTGCTATTCCTTTGCTCTGTGTCGGTGTTCACACTCACAGTGTGAATTGCTCTAGCATTCTCAGGTGAAGTCCCACCGACATGTGTGGATCCTGTCACTTACTCATGGATTACTCATGGATGTCCTTGATCTTACACTTGGCAGAAGGCCCCTAAGGGACATGAATTCTCAGAGGTTGGCAGATAGTTGCAGCGCAAGGCCGTGTGACATGAATCCCACTCCCAGGAAAACTGATAATTGTGTGAGAGCTCTGGGAACAGTAGGATTCCCCTGGTTTACAAATTGGACAGATGGCTATGGAGGATTTTGATTTTATTACCTCTTGGGATTATTAAATATTGCTGTACAGGGAATACTTTAGCATTCTTACGCAGCCCCACTTAGGCAAAGAACTTTTGTTTGGCCAATTTTCTTGCTCAGAAACCATTGCTTTTGGTTCACTCCGCCATCTTTCTCCCTGTCCTCCCTTTGCTTCTCATCCACTGTATTCCTCACACAGAAGTTTTATTAAACTTTTTAATTTTTTGTTACAGTAACAAAGTCATGTTAAAAAAAGGCCAATTGCCCATTAAAACCAGCATGCATGTTATAATCAACAGAAAATTTGGAACCTCCATTTTGATATTAGAGCATGCAAAAACTTCCTGAAGTTGGAAAGAAGATCCACGTTTGTAATCTTTCTCAGAGAAAATCAAAATCTCTTCCTTCATACCAATAAATGTGCCAAATGATACCTTCTAATATAGCAAATAAATTGAATTTTTCTAAAAGTTTAACATTCTTATCTTACTAAGCTAGTTGCAACTACTGTTTTACAGGATTTTTTTTTAAATAGACTTTATTTTTTAGAGCAGTTTTAGATTCAGAGTAAAACTGAATGGAAAGTACAGAGAGTTTCCATACATCCCTTGTCCCCACACACACAGCCTCCATCACTGTCAGCATCCTGCACCAGAGTGGTACACTCATTACAATCAATGAACCTACATTCTCTATTCATTATCACTCAAAGTCCACAGTTTATAGATTAGTGTTCCCTCTTGGTGGTGTACATTCTATGAGTTTTGACAAATGTATAATGACACGTGCCACCACTACAATATCATACAGAAGAGTTTCACTGTCCTAAAAATTCTCCGTGCTCCGCCTATGCATCCCTCCCTCCCTCCAAATCCAGTCAAGCACTGATCTTTTTACTATCTCCATAGTTTTGACTTTTCTAAAATTTCATGTAGTTGGAATCATACAGTATATATCCTTCTCAGATTGGCCTCTTTTACTTTGTGACATGCATTAAAGGTTCCCAATGTCTTTTCTTGGCTTGAAAGTTCATTGCTTTTTAGCACTGAATAGTATTCCATTGTTTGAATGTACCACAGTTTATTTATCCACTCACCTAATGAAGGATATCCTGGTGGAGTCTGAGTTTTGGCAATTATCAACAAAAACGCTGTAAACATTTGTGTGTAGGTTTTGGTGTGGAAATAAGTTTTCAGCTCATCTGGGTAAATACCAAGGAGGGTGATTGCTGGACTGTTTGGTAAGAGTGTTTTTCTTTTTGTAGGAAACTGTCAAACTGTCTTCTAAAATGGCTGTACTATTTTGCTTTCCAACCAGCGATGAAGGAGCACTCCCGTTGCTCAGCATCCACATCTGCATTGGGTGTTGTCAGTGTTTTGTATTTTGGCCATTTTACTAGGAGTGTAGTTGTAGCTCATTGTTGTTTTAATTTTCAATCCCTTAATGACACATGATGTGGAATAACTTTTCATATGCTTATTTACCATCAGCATACCTTTTTTGGTGAGACGTCTGTTCAGGTTTTCAGCCCAGTTTTTAAATTGAGTTTTTTGTTTTCTTATTGTTAACAATTCTACGAATATTTTGGATACCAGTCCTTTACTCGATATATCTCTTGAAAATATTTTTTCCCTATCTGTGGCTTGTCTTCTCATTCTCATATATTTAGGTCTATGATTCATTTTGACTTAATTTTGTGAAAGGTGTAAAATCCATGCCCAGAGTCATTCTTTTGCCTGTGGATGTCCAGTTGTTCCACTGCCACCTGTTGAAGACATTATCTTTCTCCCATTGTATTGCCTGTGCTCCTTTGTTAAAGATCAGTTGACTATATCATATAGGTCTATTTCTAGACTCTTTATTCTGTTCCATTCATCCTTTTCCAGGAATTTCATGCTTATCTCATGCCATGCTAATAGAAAATATATAAGATAGCTAGTATTACACTCATTTTGTAGATAAGAAAACTTGGGTTTCTAGAGGATAATTACTTTGCCCAGAATCTGGCCAAATTATGTTCAAATTCAGCTTTGTGTTGCTCTGTAGCTTCTGCTCATCCCACTGAACAAAATGTAAAATGGATCCAGGAGAGTTTGGGTAGAGTACATAAAAAAGGATGACTAGAATGAATTCAACGTTATTTACTACCAAGGGCGGTTGGGATTCCTTCTATTCTTATTCTCTTGTACTCTTTATGCTTTCTTATTTTAAATCTTTCTCTGGGTCTGGATCAATGGAAGGAAGGTTAAAAATTTTAATACATACCCTAAATATTTAAATCGTAGAAGTGGCCATACCTGAAATTACTCCGTATTTTGGGCAAAACTTGTGTGAATAACGACTTATTTGCATGTTAACACATTTTCCCACCCTATTGCCTTTGCGTGAGCCTAAATGAAGAGGATACTAATGCTCTTAAGAAATCTCAAAAAGTATAAGACCAGTTATTTGCTTTTATAAAGCTCTTTAAAAACTACAGCATCAGGGGAAAAAGGTAAGTTAGTTAAAAGGAACCCAGTTTGGAAAAAAGGCGCTGCATGTGCTTTCACTTCTGTTCTATTTTTAAGGTATTCAGTGTACATGCCGTCATTGAGGATACTGCTTGACAGATGAATCTGTCACTAAGAAAAAAGATAATCATGTTTTTTAAAACTATTCTAAGAGAAATCAGAAAACTCTTTGCAAGTAATGGGAATTTATCTGAAATAAGATCTAGTGGACACCCATTAATATTTTTGGAGATAAAGTTCTTTATTTCCTTATCCTAAATTGCACAGCAATAGAGGTTTGAAGGACATGCTATTTATTTGCAAATAGTATTTCACCAAATGTGATGGGAGTAATCTGAACAGGAAGAAATAGCGCTAATGGCTTAGAAAGAGTGTCAAATGGTAAAACAGCTTTATTATTCACACTCTATCTTATGTGAATTGGAGACTATAATGATTGCAGAGAAATTAAAACATTTAACAATCATTTAATTGGGCATTTAAAATGTTTTTTCCTTCAGCAGATACTAAATTAGCCACTCTTTTGTGCTATTTGCAGGTCTGTTTCAGCATATTCAGAAACATCACGAGTGAATCAACGACTAAGTACATCAGAATGTAAGTGATTGTTGACTACTGAACTTGAATAGAATATTAATGAATCTTAATTGAAGTCCTTTACTTTCTTCAAATTTTATTCTCCTTAAGTATGATTGTAGTTTGAAAAGTGATTGTAAAATGGTGTACTAGAATTTTGAAGTGATTTTCTCAAGTGTTTCCCACATTATATTTACTCCCCTGTGAAGTGAGTGGATACTTTCCCCTCATTATCAATGTTGAAAATTCCATTTGGAATTTAAAGCAATTTTGATGGCCCTCTTAAAATAAATACACATTCATTTTTTAAAAATGCTTATTCTTTTTCTTTCTTACTCCCTTCTTGTTAATGTGAAGGGGCAAATTCTCAATGAGTCTTCTCTGTTAAAATGCAAAATGTAGATGCAAGTAATCCATAATTAATCTCTAAGTCAAAATGGGGTGAGTTTTTTATGAGCCACGTCTGAGGATTATAGCCTGAGCCCTGCCTTCCCCAAGGGAAGGAAGGGCACCAAAGAAGCAGGGTGTACAGAGTGGTTATATACCATCTTGGAACAAGGAGCATGCATCACATATGCTAGGAATGTCCCTTTTACAATAGTCACAAGATTGCTTTGCTGGCACAGCAGATGAGTGGTCACAAGGTAGGCAAAGCAGGTTGGTAATTAATCCTTATTTTCTAGGAAGAGATGCTTATGCTTAAGCAAATGTCCATACGGGGGAAGATACACACCTATCTTTAAGGACATCATTCTTGTCTTTGGGACATAGTAAATGTTTAAAGCAGATGCCCAACAGGCCACATCAGGCCCTTTTGGAAAAACAAGGTCAGGCCTACTTAGTTTTAAACCAAGTTGCTTCCTCATATAATCCAATATATCATATTGCTTTGCATTTATTTATCAAAAGCAAAGTAGTTTTATTATTAAAATCATTCTTAATAAGCAACAATGATACAATTTTCTGGGTGATCACTAGTTTTTTAGGCCTTTTACTAAGCCCCTTTACATGGATTATTTCCTTCATTGCTTGGTTCTACAATTTTCTGAGTCATCTTACCAAGAATGCACTTATGTGAGTGGCTGTATAAGGAAACAATAATGACCAAATATTTTGTGAGGATACACTTTATTAAAGGTACACTCGATTTTTTCAAATACATTTTTTTAAAAAGTCTTCAAATGTGAGGATATTTATTACAATAATTTTATTTTCAAATGTCTAGACCCTTTGGCGAAGGAAAAACATTAAAGAAGACATAAGTAATATTAGAGAAGGTATCATGTGTACAATCAAGGTTCCATTTACTCCCCATTACTCTACCTTTGAGCTGAAATATAGATGGTTGGGAGTAAACTAGAGATGGAAATGGAGACTAAGTGGAAGCGGCCTGTTTATATCTATCTGCGTATGTATCTTTTTGGCTCTGTTTCTCTAGAGAACCCTGAGGGATTTGAAGGATATGAAACCATCACTCAATATCTAAAATAAAAAGACAAAGTTTATTTTATTGTTCACTGTAATAAAGGAGAGCTCTGCTGGTCAAGCACAGTCTTTCTGAGCGGAGCAGACTATTGATATTATATAAGGACTCAGGGCAGCTTGGTGTTCAAGGAGTGGCAAACTTTACTCCTAGTGGTATAATTAGGTACAATAATTTGTAGAGTTGTGATTACTAGAATGAGACTGTTGTTGCTAGTTGGATTCAGAGGCTTATTTTTTAGAGTAGTTCATTGTTGATTGGCTGACTTTCAGAAGTGAGGGGCTGAAACCAATTGGTTAGATGAAAAATGTGTTTGTTGAATAGGTGATATGTTGTCAGAGTTCAACCAGAGAAGCAGAATCAGTATATACATATATATGCACACTATATATACATATCACATATATATACATACCTATCTATCTATCTATCTATCTATATGGATCTATCTATCTATTGATTCAGCTTGGTAAGTGTGAGTCTCTTCCTTTCCCCAGGGAATGCCTAAGCTCTCTTTTAGGAACTTCTAACTGATTAAATCATGCTAACTCAGGATAATCTCTCTAATTTAATGCCAATAGATTAAGGATTTTAATTACATCTGCAAAATCCCTTCACAGAAACACCTAGAATAATGTTTGACTGAATACAGGGGAAAAGGTATGTGTATGATATAAAATATCTACTTCTTCCCTTCCTTTCTCCAACTTTTGTGAGATAATACCTCCTACAGCTCACTCCATCCAGAAACATACTGGAGAGGGAATTCTTGGAAAGAAGCATGATCTATCCAAAATGACATAACATAAAGTTATTACACAAGTTTGCTGTGGCCACAGGAAAATCAGTCTTTTTATACATTTGTGGGAACTTTTCTTATTCTCATTGATCTTTTCCAGTATTTCCTTTCTCTAATTTTCCTCTTTGCTCATATCTCATAGCTTTTGTTATTCTTCACTTAATGCATCATGGAATACATGTGGCATAGCAGAGAATAAGAGGAAAGTACTTTGTTCCTGGCTTTTCTATTCAAATCCCTAGGCCCTTTAGAGAATGAACAGCATTATAGAAGACACAAGTAATATTAGAGAAGCTATCGTATGTAGAATCAAGCATTACTCCACCTTTGGGCTAGAATACAGATGTTTTTGGGGGTAAATGAGAGAGGGAAATGGAGATTAAGTGGAAGTGATGAGTGCGTAAGCAAAGGAACGGAATGACAGAATGCATGCTGTAGAGCACTGAAGAGCTGGCCTAACCCCACATAAGTTGAAGATGAAAGAGAAGTTCTATCTTAAATTTAAGAGAAGGCCACAAAGATGAATTGAAACATGCGGGATGGAAAGCACTCTATGGTATGTCTAGGTAGATATGGTTTCTTAGAATCAGAGATATTTCCTATGTCTCATCTGAAGAAAAATAGATGCCCCCCATGCACCTGAATAGCACAGAATTAGCACAGGACATTCCCGGACCTGAAGGAATGTCTCAAGTGTTACCTGTATAGACTCATGCCTGTGGTCTGGATGGATTGAAGATATCTGACAATAACAACCTAGAAGGGGAAGAGGAAAGGAATGGAATGGCTTAATCTAAGGAAATAAGAGGCTATCAGAAAATGGACAATCTCATCTATGAGATGTTTTATACAAACACATGGTAGCCACTAAACAAATAACAAGAATAGACACGCAAAGTACAAATAAGAAGAAAGCCAATATAGAAAACTACCTACCTGAATTGGTAGTCCAAAAATCATGGGACAAGAAACAAAGGAAATGCAGGACAACTGGAAAACATATGATAAAATGGCAGCGTTAGGCCCCTACATTTCAATAATCACTCTAAATGTAAATGGATTGAACTCTGCAGTTGAAAGAATCAGAGTGGCAGGATGTGTTAAAGAACAAGACCCAACAATGTGCTGCCTTCAGGAAACACACCTTAGCCCCAAAGACAAACACAGACTCAGAGTGAAGGGATGGAAGAAGATACTACAAGCTAATAATGAACATAAGAAAGCAGGTGTCACCATACTTATATCAGACAACGTAGACTTCAAAGCAAAACAGGTAAAGAGAGACAAAGAGGGGCAGTTTATAATGATAAAAGGGACACTCCACCAAGAAGACATAACACTTATAAACATGTATGCACCCAACACAGGAGCACCAAAGTACGTAAATCAACTATTAACAAAACTAAGAGGGGATATCAACAACAATACAATAATAGTAGGGGACCTCAACACCCCACTAACACCAATGGATAGATCATCCAGACAGAAAGTCAGCAAGGAAATTGTATAATTAGATGAAAACCTATACCCAATGGACTTAATAGATATATAGAGAGCACTCCATCCCAAAACAGCAAGTTACACATTCTTCTCAAGTGCACATGGAACATTCTCAAAGGTAGACCATATGTCGGGAAACAAAGCAAGCCTCAACAAATTCAAGAGGATTGAAGTAATATCAAGTATCCTTTCCGACCATAATGCTATGAAACTAGAAATCAACTACAAGAATAAAGATGGGAAAGGGGCAAAAATGTGGAGATTAAACAAAATGCTACCAAACAACCAGTGGATCATTGAAGAAATTAAAGGAGAAATCAAATATTACTTGGAAACAAATGAAAATGAAAACACACCCTACCAAGTCATTTGGGATGCAGCAAAAGCGCTCCTAAGAGGGAAATTCATTGCAATACAGGCTCACCTCAATAAACAAGAAAAATCTCAGATAAGCGATCTCAAACGACACCTAACAGAATTAGAAAACGAAGAACAAACAAAGCCAAAAGTCAGTAGAAGGAGGGAAATAATAAAAATTAGAGCAGAAATAAATTAAATCAAAATGAAAAAGACAGTAGAAAGGATCAATGAAACAAAGAGTTGGTTCTTTGAGAAAATAAACAAAATTGATAAACCCTTAGCCAGCCTCACTTAGAAAAAAGAGAGAAGATTCAAATAAATCAAATTATAAATAAAAGAGGAGAGATCACAACGGATACCACAGAAATACAAAAGATTATAAGAGAATACTACGAAAAACTATGCCAACAATTTGGACAATCTAGGAGTAAGGGATAAATTCTTAGACTCTTACAACCTCCCAAAACTGAAGCAAGAAGAAATAGAGAGTCTGAATAGACCAATCACAAGTAAAGAAATGGAAGCAGTTATCAAAAACCTCCCCAAAAATAAAACTCCAGGACCAGATGGCTTCTCTGGAGAATTCTACCAAACATTCAAAGAATATTTAATACCTATCCTTCTCAAACTATTCGAGAAAAATTGAGGAAGATGGAGCACTTCCTAATACATTCTATGAATCCAATATCACCCTCATCCCCAAACCAGACAAGGACAACACAAAGAAGGAAAACTACGGGCAATATCACTGATGAACACTGATGCAAAAATCCTCAACAAAATTCTGGCAAATTGAATACAGCAATACATTAAAAAGATCATACACCATGATCAAGTGGGATTTATACTAGGGACACAGGGATGGTTCAACATCTGCAAG